ATATAATATTAAAAACAAGAAAAAGATATAAAAAATAATTATACTAACTAAAAATAGAATTCCAATTTACTAAATATAAAAAGTAGAAAAATAAAGAAAAAAAATATAAATCTCAAAGAATTTTAATTGATTAAATTATATCTACTTAGAATAAATAAGTATAAAAATATAAAAAGTATAAGAGTACAAAGTAGAAAAAGTATAAAAAGTATAGGAATACAAGGTAGAAAAATAAAAGTATATGAATATTATATATAAGAAAATTGTGAAATATTCTAAGTTCTTTACATGATTTTTATAATTTTATGAAATATTATAAATTATGGAATTAATGAATTTTATAATATAATTGTAATAATATATATTAATAATAATAATATTATTAATTTTTTAAAAAAATTGAATTAAAAGTAAAATTTGTGAGAAATATTTTTATTAAAATATAAAAAATTATTTTATAAATAAAATTTTAAAATACAAGTTATTTTTATTTTTATATTTGTTTAAATTTTTTTGTTATATTTAATTTTATATTTTAATTAATTAATTATATTAATCTTTATAATTTTATTAACTAATAAATTTAATAATAATTACTAATAATAACAAATAAATTTATTTTATATAATTTAACTAAAATTTTAAAATAATTATAAAAATAAAAATAATTTAATTATTTAAATAAACTTTTAATTTTTAATAAATATTATAAATTATATTAATAATTAATAATATAAATTATAATTCAAATTTAGAGCTATAATATAATATATTATATTATATTAATTTTAAATTTATATAATAATTTAATTTAGATTTAATTAAATTTCTTGAATTTAAATTAAAGTTCAATTTGTATTTAGTTCAAATTTTAAATTAAATTTAAATTCAAATAAAAGTTAATTTAGTTAATTTATAAAAATATTAAGTTTAATTTTTTTATAATTATACTTTTGAAATATAAAAATTATAATAAAAAAATTATAATCTTAGTTAATTCTCAATATAAAAAATATTTTATATAAAAAATTCTTGATATAATAAAAATTTGAAAATTCCAATTGAAAATTTTATAATAAAAAATTTTTGATATAAAAATCTCAATATAAAAAAGATTTTGATTAAATTTAATAACTTTTTTATATTAAAACTTATTTGTATATAAAAATTAAACTTTTTATTTATAATAAATTAAAAAAAAATATAATTATATTAATTTGAAATTGTATAAAAGATATATAGATTTAAAAATAGTTTAAATTATTATAATTTTTAATTTGTTTAATTATATTATCTTTAAGTAAATTTTTATTTTTTAATAAATATTATAAATTATACTTATAAATAAAATTATAATTCAAAATTAAAGCTAAAAGAGTTAATTTTTTATAATTCCAATTAAAGCTAAAAATAAAAGTGATAAATTTAGTATCTATTTCAAATTGAATTTGATATAATAATTCAATTTGAATTCAGTTTAAACTTCACACTTTTCTTGAATTGAAGTCAAAGTCCAGTTGAAGTTTGATTCAAACTTGAATCAGTTTCAAACTCAGACAAAAGTCTAGTTTGGTTTGATTTATAGAATACTAGAACCAATTATAATAAAATCATCTTTTTATAATTATATTTATAATAAAATCTAATATAATTATATTCATGAAAAATTACTATTAAGTCCAACAATATAAATATAGAAAGAGTTAACTGTATATTAATACAATTAATACAATTACACTTTCTAAATACATACTTTTTAAATTATTTATAGTGCCAGGTTCAAAAATGTGTGATTCTACAATGATTATTCTATATGTTGTCACATTTTTCTTAAAGTGTATTCTTGGAACTGGTACTATAAATTCATTTAGAATATGCATTTAAAGGAGTGTGACTATAAATATTTGTGTTAATTATATTTAAACTGTATTTAAGAATTCAAAAAAAGTCAAAATTAAATATTTGCAGCATTCTAAGCTTTTTTTGATTTGGAAATAATATGGTGCATAGCATCTAAAGTCATCAAACGTTTGTATTTTATAAATAGATAAACTCCTTTACTAAGTAAATACAAAATTTAATCGTGAATATGCTCAAAGGGCCTATTCTATGATATTCAGGATTAAATTTTATATTTGCTTCTTAGTAAAAGAGTTTATCTATTTTGTAAAATACAAACGTTTGATGACTTTAGATGTTATGCATCATAAAACGGATATATATTCTTCGGAGACGATTTTAAGAGATATTGACTCGCTGACGGGATTTTGAATAGAAAAGAAAAGTATTATAGTGAATAACCCAATATTTATACATGTATATTACTGGTCTTAAGATTTAAGTATTTGAATTCGATTTAAATAGCAATTGGATAATTAGCGTAGATTACAAAGTTTATAACGATAACGACAATAATAAAATTACTGCATAAAACTCGGACATTTTTCATTCTATAGTTCTAGATTCAGTCGGAAATAAGTATGCTTGTTGTAATTCATTCTTATTTCTATTGTTTAAAATATTTGCCGTAATGTCGTATCAGTCAAAACAATTACGTAAACTGTGTCATAACACATGAATAAGCACATTGAAAACAAATCACCTGCTATAGAAGATTTAAACGAATTTCGTGTAGGTAATCCAGGGTCCAGGATTCTATCAATGAAGTATTAAGGAGAAAATTTAATACAATAACAATAATTCCCTGTTATTTAAAATATAAACATATTAAATGGGCTCCTTAGATTACAGCTAAACCAAAGCATCAATTAAAACTTCGATAAACTGATTTTCGAATTTTCTACTAATAGTCCGACACTTCGATTTAAAGTCAATTGTATGTCTAATACTATATTTCTAAAACGAATTGCATAGTTGAACATTTAGTCTAAATCTAACATTTAAGCATTCTTTGCATACATTTAATAATAATGGTAATATGTGAGTTTTATATCGAATACGTGTAATTATAAAACTTCGAAAAAAGTGATTATTTTAGTTTTTGAATGTCTTTATACTAAGCGAGCCGATAACTGATAATAGAGTGGATTTTATACTTATAAATTGCATGCGAGTATATTGTTATCGTTATGATGCTCAAATTTCTGCACCATTTTGAAATTATTTCAATTGAAACATGCGTGATTCCTTCATTTACAGTCAAACCTAAGGTGATATCATACCCATTTACAGTCAACCTTTATATATAAAGGTGATAGTCACCCATTTATGGTTATATATCTCTCCATAGTCGCCATGCAAGCTACGTATTAACTGTTATCAAGTAACTATAGACAATACAGTATTTGATAGCGGTATAGTTTGAATGGGTGTGATCACCTTCATACGTATAGCGATAGAGGTTTGTAATCCGGATGTATAAAATTTTGTATCGCAAACAGCTTTTAGCAATATAATTATCGTTATATTTATTTAAATGATCACTGTTTCCTAAAAGATTCACCCCGATTTCCTGAAAACCCCTATTTTAGCTAATGTCAAAAGTCGAAATTCTATGTTTCGATGAAGCTTTAATAAAGTTTCAACTTTTGACGAGTTTTGAGTTTTGACAAGTTTATTAATAGTAAATTTTAATTTTTGGAAATACTGGTACTTTATGATATACGTGTAACGATAATTCGAAAAATAATTAAACATACCGATACTAATACGTAATCTTTAAATATACATTTATAGTGCTCATTACATTGTGTAGAAATTATATTATTATAGCGGAATATATTAAAACTAAATATTAAATTAAAAAGTAATATTATTAAAAAATTAAGTTCGTGCGTGAATTATGAATATTGGGTTGTGTTGTAAAAAGAACCAAGATTTTGATTCACGCTCATCACATTCCAATAAACATATTGTTCGTTAGGCAAACAGGAAACCTCAACTTGATGCTCGGGCGAGAAAATTGGCTGTTGAACCGTCGTTGATTCTATAAAAGGATCAAGTGGATTTAGACAATTTCTTATAATATCGTACGAGAAGGGATAATTGTTGCATTGCGGCAAAAATTGTTGGGCTTGATATTCACAAGGAAATCCCGCATTATTGTTTCCATATTCAATTTGATGATTCAAGTTTATTAAATTTGGGTTATTTGTATTTATGATGTTGCTAGGATTGAATCTTGCAAGTTCAAATGGATTTTCTCTTCTTTCACTTGTTAACTCGGTTGATGACACGGTGCTAATTTCTTCACGAATTTTTGCAACTTCTTTAGCTAATTCTTCGTATTTACGTTGAACTTTTCTAGGCTCTTTTTGCCATGACTATCAATAAAGCATAAAAATTAACCAGATAAATACTAATAACACTCAAATATCGCAAAAAATTTCAATATATACCTTTGAAGCCAAAGCTGAGACAGTTCGCATTGATATGCAATAACCCTTTGCTTTCAAAGCTTTAGCATATTGACTTCGGTATATCAAGAATTTATTTGTCGCGCGTGCTCGTAAAATTCCACTTGGATCACGTCGAATTAAATCTTTTGGATTGACATCTGGCGGAAAAGGAACCTGAACTGCTGGTACTTTGTCTGCAGGAATGTTGCGTAAGCTTTCTCGAAGTTTTTCGCGACTCTCGTAATCTTCCGATTCATTAATAAATTTCAATTCTGTTGTTGAACTCATTTTTATAAGTTTTTCACGGAATAATAAAATCTAAATATTAAATGAGTGTTTTGTTCTAAGAAGAGAATACGAGTTTTGCGTTCTAAAATTGCATAAAAACAGCACCGCGTCTATACTAGAAACGCAAAAATCTCTCTCTGTTTGATTAATGTTTATTTGGATTGATTTAACAAGAATTCAAGAGCGAAGCTCTTGCTCTTTTTATATCATTCACATGCATATGTTAGAAATACTTAAGTCTTTTAATAAAATGTATTACATGTAGATGTTAGAACCACGCGTTTCGATTTCGAACAAAATAAATTCTTTTTTCAGATCATCCGATTCCAATACATTGTCTTTTTATGTAAAGTAAATTTAATTTGTGGTCTAATTAACTATATGCTTCTCTCAAAAGACCAAAAATTCAACGTTGGATTAGCATTGACCGTTTACTTTGTATGTATAAAATTTATTTTATTTGCCATGATATACATCTTTTTTATTGTGTGGTTGCTAAATTAAGGATTTTCAGACATTCAAAGGTAGTTCAGCATCCAAGATACAAAAATTCTCCTGTTTCAAAGTCCGTCATTTGACCGAAGTTTTATTTAGTATATTTATTTTATTCATATCATTTTATCAAAACTATCCTAAAAGCAAACACTTTTAATGTTTGTTTCCAACTATAGAAATTTGTTTGCATGCTTATTCGCAAAAATTGGAATGTACATGTATAAATCTTTAATTATTAAAAGCTTTTTTCTCGTGATTGAGTGAACGCATGCGTTGTAATTTTTCGATATTGTGTAAAGTTAATATTAGACGGGTAAGGAAATTCCGAACTGACGATCAATATTGACAAGTTTTCAATCATAACAGATCTATTATATTATTATAGGGATTTTGATTTACGGGAAAGCCCAAAGTTTGTGAAATAAGAAGCGATTGTCTCTAACTTTAAATTTTCAATATAAAAAATTATGTGTTTTATTATGAGATGACGGTTTCTAATGTAAGGCGATTACGTAATTGATTTTTAGAAATATGAAAAACAATAATTAGTACGAAAGCACATTTAATCATTATCGTTACGTTATGATGATAAATCGCACGTAAAATGTTGCACGTTTTTCATCTCCGTGTTGTCTCACGAAAACATGCTGTTCTATTTATGACATTGATCTACCTGAATCCTCAAATAGAGAGTCCAAGTGTTTATGATAGTTCGAGATTTTTGAAATATTCTTTGTAGTCTTTTGCAGATACCTATTAATCTTAAGGTCAAACAATAATTTTCATAGATTTGCTAGTCTTAAACTGTGTGAATCTTCATTAAAGAAGTGAAATATGGAATCACTTATCATGTGATATTCTGTCGGAAAAAAAATTACGCTGTTCAAAAAAACTATTATATTCTTAGAAACCTGGCTTTTTGAAGTCAGCGAATGCTAAAGAATTTAGCTCATATAATATTTGAAATGTTTCTTTGTTTAGTAATTACAATAAAATCAAATTAAAGCATGATTAAATTAAATTAAACTAAATTACAATCAACAACTACCGTTACAATTATACGTAATTAAATAAGAATTAAATTAAATCAATAAATTAAATAAATTAAATAAAAGATATAATGAGACTTTTATGTCAACTTTAACGTCGCATACTTTCAATCAATAAAGGATCGATAATTTCAAAGTCGAAAAGATCAAATGAATACGTACAAGGTTTCGGAGATATTTTTGCAAATTCAATCTGAATCCGAAAACAACCAAAAACTTTATTTCAAAGTCAAGGTTTCGGGAAACATTTTTAATTTCGGCGATAAATTGAGATCGCCGATTTTTGACAGTGCGAAAATCTCTTTTTTTTTAGTTTCATATTCTTTTCAAGTGTTCTAAGAAGCGATTGTTTGACAAAGTTAAAATTAATTTCAATTGACTTTTTTGTAGGTCATGACCAGATTGGTCTCATTATTAACGTTAACTGTTACACAGATGATTATTATCTTGCTTAATATCGATATTATCTTGCTTAATATCGATATTATCTTGATTAACCAAGATATTATCCGATCGAAATAACATAATTTTAGATCAAAGGCAAAAATAAATAATGGTTAAATAGTATCGTAATGTTTTGATTTATACTAATCAGAATTCAAGTGTTCTTTGCAAATACGTGAAAATTAACGCCAAGATTGAGGAAATAATAAATCAATTCACGTTGAAAAATTTGATTAGGATACGATATGATTAATAAGAATGAAATAAAACGAGAAAGCATTTTTATGCGGCAACTCCTTAAAAAAATTCATAAAGTTTTTTCTATAGAAACAGAACACAAATTCTCAAATGCTTTATACTATTTATAGTGTTTTAACACACGTAATATTGCGCTGAGACAATATTCAGATACGTGGCTGGTTTTGTAATTTTACTTTATGTTACATTACTTGTACAGTATCGGTATGTTGCGTGGATCATAGAAATTACGTGCAAAATCTTCCTGATGTAGGAGATAAAAATGCCACAATCTATGACTTATGCATCATTGCAGTTTTATCGGATTATAATATATTAATTAGATAATTGTTTAATATAAAGTAAAATTATATGTTATGATTCATGGGTTTTTAGGGAAATTCAACAGCCCAAAAATCTAAGAATATCAATATAAAACTTTTAGTCTAAAACTAAGAATCAAATTACGAGCATTATAGTTTTTCTAGTATTTAAATAATCAAATAAGCACAAATTTGCAATTATTGATAAATAAAAATATATTAATGTTGTAGTATTAAAACATAGGAAGAGGAAGAGTAATATTTTTGGCGAGATTAATTATCAAACTTTTGAAATATCAAATAAAATTTTGGATGCTGCTTACAATTTCATTTAACTTGAGAAATATAAAAATAGATACAGTCATCCCTCTATATAAGAACACGCTATATAAGAACACCTCTCTATAGGAACACAATTTTGAGAACCGAATGATTAATATTGATAATAAAAATAACCTCTTTATAAGAACAACTCTCTATAAGAACCGATTTTTATGGCCCGACCATGTTCTTATAAAGAGGGATGACTGTAGTAATAATAGACGTAAAGCAAAAGTTTGGTTTTCTAATAATTTAGCTTTTAAAGAATTTTTAAAACGTTAATAACCGTAGTTTTTTAAAATATACCTGCCTGACAAGATAAAATTGTGCAAATTATTACACAAGAAATACAGTCAACCCCATTAAAATGAAGCACTGATTAAAACCGAAGTTGATTCTAATAGGTATAGTACTCATCTCGATAGAAGTTGGTTCAGAGCAGTTATATGGTGCATAAAATTTAACGTTTGTATTTTATAAAATAGATAGTCCTTTACTAAGAAGTAAATACAAAATTTAATCCGTGAATATGCTCAGAACGGGCCTATTCTATGATTTTACGGATTAAATTTTATATTTACTTCTTAGTAAAGAAATTTACTAGTTTATAAAATACAAACTTTAGATGTTATGCACCATACGTAGTAAACCTGTCTTGATAAACAGAATTTTTAAAATTTCTATTTGGGGGATTAACTGTGTACATGTAATAAGTTTAATATTATATGGAAGTGCATTTTCTGTTATATCCAGTCACATCAAAAAAAAATATCATCAATTTTAAAAGAATAAGTCAAACTTAAAAAGTATTATTCAATAAACCTAAAGCAAAAGAAAAGATTAACAGAGTTAGATTTGTACATGTAATTTTTTGCCATGGCGTTGTAACGTGGGATCCCAGATTTAATAGTTGTGGGGACCGAAAATATAACCTTAAAAATTTTATGCTCCATTACCCTAACCCTATACTCTTAGTAAATAGGGACCATGGGTATTGTGTTGGATGGGAGGATATTGTGACAGGTCAAAAAAACATGTTTAAAACACAAATAAAAAAGATAAAATATGGTAATAATATTGTTAATACGTATATGCTTAAGACTTGTATATACATTCTTCTACAATCCAAAAAAAGCATAGTAAAATATATTAAAAGTTAAAAGCTTCTCTTATAATAAAATTTTTATTTTTATTAGTAATATATTTTGTTTTATATCAAAATAAAGCTAATAATCTGTATTTTATTATAAATTTTTTAAATTTAATTTCAAGAATATTTCTGATTATAAAGTTGGTTATACAAACTTTCATAATTAATTTTATTAAATTTGAATTTAATTATAAGTTTGTATAACCAATTTTATAATTAGAAATATTCTATAAAAAATATATTAAAATATAATTTCTAACAAAAGTAATAGCAAATGTGCTTTTTGCTTATATTTTAATAAGAGATTATTCAAAAATCATGAAATTTATAAATATATTCTTTAAGATATTAGAAACAAGTTTTATTAATATTATAGAGCATGTTAATATAATAAATTTTATATTAAAAAAATTTTAATATTTAAATTAGAATAAAAAATTATTTAAAAATATTTTTAATAAGTTATTTGAAAATAATTTTATAAAAATATATTTCATAATATAAAAAATATATTTGCAATTTAATAAAATTTTAGTTTTTTTATTTAATATTTTTTTTCAAATTTAATCTAATAAAGCTATTATAATTATATATAAAGTTAATTATTTTTTATATATTTTCATTATAAAAAAATAATTAAATTTATATGCAATTAGAACAGCTTTATCAGATTAAATTTAAAAAATTTGAAAAAAATATATATTAAAATATATAATATTATCTATATTTTAATATAAAAAAAAATATTTATTAGTAAAATTGAAAGCTTTTATATAAAGAAAATAACTATTTATTACTATATTTAATTAATAAATTTTGATATTGTTATATTATTTTTGATTATCACTATATTTATTAAATAAAAATGAATTAAAATTTTTTATAAAAATATATTTTTATAAAATTATTTTCAAAATAATTTATTAAAAATATTTTTAAATAATTTTTTATTTCAATTTAATATTAAAAACATATTTATTA